TTTAGCTTTAACAGTGGCGTGCGTACGGGTATTGACTTCGATATTTTTTAAGAAATAAATGGTATGAAAATCATTTTTTACCAAATAAATTCCTTTGAATTCCTCGTTCAATTTAAAACAAATGATCTCTCTTGAATTGTTTTCCTTCGATGCGCCATTTTTGAGTAAAAAAATAAAAACCGTTTTATTGTCTAACTTGCAAAATTATTATTAATTTAATTTAAAAAATTAAACACATTAGGGGTAATGAACAACAACAACTGACAACATAAACATAATATTATAAACAACGAAATGATTACTAAAATTGTTGAAAGTGGCTTCACTTAATATGCATGCTTCCGCCCTCCTTCTCATGGAATTGCGCACTCGTTGAAATATCCCTGGAGTGTTTTTTATTCTATCACAAGCTGCAACTATTTTTTCTCTTAACTCCTCTACAGTGTTAATGAGATTTCGGTACACTAGTGTCTTAAGATAGCATCAATAAGTATTCGCATATCATTAAGGAACACCCTGTATTCAGTTGGCTACAGCGCCATCTACAAGTATGACACGTCTAGACGAGATAGATAGCTGTAACAAATCCTTCTAGATGACGCTACAGTCTCTATCTTTTTTGTATACCGAAGTTCGATACGGTTAAGATGGAAGGCCGAAGTCAGGCAGGTCTGCCTGGCAGGCATAAAGTGCGGTGGCATCAAGAAGAAAAGTATTGAGGAGCAAAGCCCGAAGCTGTCCATTAGAGAATAGTCACCAAGCACTTGCCTTCCTCTGAACTGCATCGAGCATTTATAATGTAGTCGAGGCAGCAGCACTCCAAACAGGTGAGCAGTAATTATCTGGACCTTGTACAGAGTGTTGTGTGGAAAAAAGTACTTCTTAGCCATAAACAAGTAGCCTAGCTTTCCCAACAGTAGCCGCTATCGACAAGATGAGTTGATGGCAGATCAAGTCTTCGATGATCTGGGCTCCGACGAGCCGAAATGAACAAGTTCTTTGTAGAACTCCCCAACCATCGAAACCGAATGAGCGCTAGGGCGCTTCTTATTAGTTAAGGTACAGTACTGGGTTCTGGAAGCTTTAAACCTTTTTTTACTATTTTACTTACTAGTAATTTGAATTTCTCTTTATTAATGGTAGAGTGTCCATTCCTAGGCCAAACCCTTTGCAATGATTTTCTTTTGGAGATTGAACAGATGGCGCTCACACCAGGCAGTTCAAAAATCGTATTAACAAAATTTCTTTGGGATCATCATTGGCCTAGGAATGGACACTCTACCATTAATAAAGAGAAATTCAAATTACTAGTAAGTGATCATAATAGTAAAAAAAAGTTACAGTATATCCAGATAAGAGATAGACCGGACATAAACAAGACCACGTGATCATCGAACGCTGTAACATTCGGCAGGGACGTATTAAGAGTCACGCAGTACATATTTTAGATAGTAGATGCTGCTTTGCGTAACTTTGTAGTAAATTAGCACAATTCGATGTGTATACGATTGGTGATGGATATAGGATCATGTGGGGGTGGGGTAAGAAATATATAATGATGTAAATATACATAAGGGTTTCAAAATTTTCGCTTCGATTTCCAGCTTCGGATGCCGCCTGATGTTTGGTGAAATACAGTCGAATATAATCTCAAAATGGCGTTTAAATTAGCCTAAATTAAAAATAATCGTATATCTCTTAAAATTGCTTTTAGAATATTGATTAGTATATTTTTTGATTTCTAGGTAAATATGTAACCAAATTAAAACGTTCAAAACGTAAAAAAATGTGCATGGTTGAACATTGTCAGAAAGTAGATTCTTGAATAGGTTTTGCCAAAATGGGTTCAAAAATGTCAATAATTAATTAAAAAATACAGTAGCTTTATAATTACTTATAACTTACCGAATTTGATGAACGACATCTTTTATTGGAAAGATGAGCTTGATGAGCTTTCATCATCGCTACTGCCTGAAGCACCAACGTCAATAATGAATGGCTCGACTTGTTCCTCTAAAATATTGTCCAGTTCCCACATTCTCTTTTCAACTTTGTCTTTCACGTGCTTAATACAGTTTTCCCATTTTTGCGCTGTTATTAATTCTAGTGCTTCTTTGAAAAGTCATTTGAGGTCACAAAATTTAAAAGTTGTATTGTGCTTAGCTATATAATTTTTAACCTCTGCCCATATGAGCTCAATGGGATTGAGCTCGCAATGGTATGGAGGTAAACGGAGCACAGTTTTATTTTGACTTGCTGCCATTTCGTCAATGGCGTATTTTTGATATTCCGCCTTGTGATCCTTGACAATTCTTAATAATTGTACTTTCAGCATTGCTTCTTCAAAGTTGATATTTTTCGAGCGGAGCCAATTTTGAACATCAACTTTCCTTGAAGCCGTTGTTGGGACCTTCTCCATTCTTCGAGAATGATAAGGCGCATTATCCAACACAATTACTGCGTTCGGTAAAATTTTTGAAAACCACTGTTCAAACGATTCGCCATTCATTTCCTCGTGGTAATCTCCAGTTTTCTTAGACTCAAAGCACCACAGACCGTCAGCAACAAATCCATCCTCACTGCCAATATGGCAGATAATGAGCCTTTTCCCTTTACCTGGAAATCGAAGTACTAACTGGTGTAGATTTATTTCAATAAGCGAACCTTTTTCAAATGTTTTCATTACATTCAGCGGAAAACATTGAGACATGAGTATCAGATTGCTATAATTGGGATTATTTAGTCATATTGAAAGAAAGAATATTGAACGTCGTATGATTACTCAGCGCTTCACAATTTAATTTAAAGTTATAAACCTTTAAGAAATGAATGATCAGGAACCTGAAATACGCGCAAATATTAATATTAACAAATTATAACTTTATAAAGCTTAAAGTATGAATTTAAATGATTAGAAATATTAGGAACGGTACACAATATAAAACTTAGTAACTTTTTTTAAGTTTATAATATTCGACATATCTTAAGATTATATTAAAAAATTATTGAAATATCGAAAACACATAAAAACATGGCTTAAAAAGTTCTAATAAATGAAAATGACAATAAAACATCCACGCATTTTATCGAAAGTTATAAAAGTTTTGTTACTTGTAATATGTTTTATCTGCCCCCTGGAATTAATGTTTAGAACCTTGTTCCCAAGGTTTGAAAAACATCCGATTGTTGTCTATTACTCGTATTTACCTGCTGGATTTTTTAATCCGATGGACAGTCCATCTAGAAAGGCCCTCCTGGATGAAGTTACAGAATCATCAACCCATACTTTACTTGTAGTGTGTCCTGCGTTTACCCACGTTTCATCAAGGTAATAAATCTTCCTGTTTTGATTTCTATATTTCCCAATTTTTGTTAAATAATCCCTCCTCCATAGCACAATTTCTTCTCTATCCAGTAGTAAACTATTACGACCCCGTTTTTTCCATTTGAAATGTAAATGCTTCAGTAACGCATGGAAAGTTGATCGTTTGAAATTTGGCAACGTTGTATCTCCATTTACCTCCTGCAGTACTTTATCTATAGTAGGTATTTCATTCCTAAAGAAGAATTCGTGCACTTTCCTCCTAATCGCATGCTTATCAGCTTCATCCAATGATTTAACAATACTTTTGCGATGTTTACTGGTCGTTGGCTCAGAAAAGGTGTGATTTTTTTTGTATTGTCTTAACACATTAAACACTGATGCGCGACACACCCCAACTTTGTGAGAAACGTTCACAACAATTTCTTTGATGGTTGATGCCTCGTTCTCCTCGCGCTCGATCTTATATATATTCAAAATGACCTCTTTCATTTCTGCACTCAGGTGTCTTTTTTTAGAGCGTTTCCTAGGTGGACTACAGGAGTTTACAACTTCATCGGCAGTATCTGTACTACTGGGCATTTTGCGCAAGCAGTTGATAACAATAACAATCAATAACAAGGTATAACAATAACAACGACAAACTCAACAACTTAAGATAACAAACGAAAACGTCCCAAGAAATATCAAATTGCAATGATGCACACGACATACGTAACACGTCTGAACCTGAATGTGACTCTGCCTTGATACGACTGCTCTGCCGCTCGGCATAGGCATTTAATTGCGAATTGACCAATGAGGGCTCCTGTTTTACGTCGAGACGGCGGCGTTAGCGTGAAAATCACCCGAACCTTTTGTTTACATCCGGTCTATCTCTTATCTGAATATACTGTACGTGATTTTGGCACGTGACAAACTCAGATAATTTTTCGGACGCGCGAATATAGTATTAGGTTTGATATCTTCAAGTAGAGTACGTAAATCAATGGTGATACTTAGTACTTGTTCCGAATGGGATAGTTTCCTATTGATAGATGCGTTAACTTGGTTAATTTTTCTAGAAATGGAGTTCGTACGAATCCGAGAAGCCGATAGGTGGTCGTGGCACATTTACGTCGGAGTCTTCTGCTTCTCTATGCCCGTCAGAGTATTCATAACGATATGTATGAAACTGGGTGCTGTGCTACTATCTTACCCACTGAAGTGGGAACATTTCCCACAAATCTTCAGCACCGGTTTGCTCTTCCTGGTAGGGGCACTTCTATTTATCGGCCTAGCTGCTGAGCTAATATATTACCCACTGGATTGGGGAGATTGCATCACTGTCTTCTGCATCAGTTTGGTCTTCGGGCTAGCGGGAATATTATGTATAAGCGTAGGTGCTGAGCTACTATTTTTCCCACTGGAGTTGCTAGATTGCGTCACGGCCTTCTGCGTCGGTTTGCTTCTCGGGCTAGAGGCAACCATACCTATCATAATAGGTGCTGCGATACTATTTTAGTTCTTGTCCGTAGATGTAATGATTGTTCTGACAATCAATGAATAATTTGTGTTAAAGTTTTCGTTAATGTTATATATAATATTATAGTCAGATGTTGTAGTAATATACTGTAATACATATCCGTTTCCAAATTGTTGCAAATCTGATATAAATCACTGTTTCAGACTTATTTTCAAATCCCCAGGCAGCAGCGGGGGTTTGAACCCCATCCCAGGAGAAATGTTTCTCTTGGCTATGGATGTTGTGGTTGTCCGTAGGTGGTAGACGGTCTCTGACTGTCGAACGCGGAGGTACCACCCGGCCTACTACACTCACTGCTCATGCTCACTGTTTCAGACTTACAGGGTTTGTCCGGTAAGTAATAGGACTGAGTCGATTTAAAAAAATTTATTGAGCCAATCGTTACAATTCTTTAAAAACTTTCAAAATAGGCTCCTTCTGCGTCGGTGCAGCGCTGCCAGCGCGATTTCCAAGCAATGAAGGCGTCACGTTGTATATATATGAATTGTGCTTACGTGTTTTTAAAAATAATGAAAAATTCAAGCGGAATTGTGATATGCATAATTATGATACAAGGACTTGTAATAATTTATATGTAAACTTCAGCAAATCAAAAGCGGCATTTCGATCGCCTAATAAAATTGGTCCGCTTCCTTTTAATAATTTGCCATGCCACATTACCTCGGTTAAAAATATCAACGACTTCAAGTTCCAGTTGAAGCAATTTTTGATAAACAAGTGCTTTTATCGTGTTGATGAATTTTTTAATATTGCAATTTGAGATTAGTTGCAGGTTGGTAGCGAACGAAAAATTGACAATTATACAGGGTGTCCGCAAAGTTGGGGTTTTCCTTTACACGACGTGTAGATATTGAAAACATAAGCAATTTTTCTTAGTACCATATACACCAATGTCTTAAGGGAACCGAGATAAAGGGCTCTGCAACATCAAAAATATCTGAATACCGTCCTGTAGCCGCGACCCGGGACATCACCGATTGGTACAAGGTCTCAACCCGACGGCAGAACTGGGTCGGGGTCAGTGTGTCAGGTCAGTATGCAACCTTCAACCGACGGTTACGGTCACGCGTGTAGAGGTAAACGAGCCCACATAATCGATTGCATTTCAAAAAACAACAAGCACTAGAAACGTGGCTAGAGAAGTGCAAGTATCAAAAATTAAAGAGGGGCTGCATCCGTTTCACGTCCAACGGGTACAAGCCCTTCAACCTGACGATTTTCCAGCAAGAGTGCGGTTTTGTGAGTGGTTGTTGCATCAACATGACAATAATCCGGACTTTTTGAAGTGCATATTAGTGACAGACGAATCTACATTCACGCGTAATGGGGTGAATAACTTTCGCAACACTCATGTTTGGTCATTACGCAACATTTTGCCTTCCTTGTTTGCCTGCGTCTGCTCGGTAGCGCATCAGCTGATTTCATTTTCTGTTGGAGCGGTATCATTTCGGGCAGAGACGTACTTAGCCCTTCTCGTCAACTGGAGAGTGAGTACTTTTTCCTTTATTTTTTTTTTTCACTAGGTCGTGCTCGTTTCACTACACATTACCTTTGTTATTTCAAGGGTAGTTGTTTCTGAAAAGGAAAACCCCAACTTTACGGACACCCTGTATATTGTCTGTATGGAAATACAGGTTATTGATTGAATACATATTCATTTCCAAATTGTTGCAAAATCGATATAAATCACTGTTTCAGACTTATTTTCAAATCCCCAGGCAGCAGCGGTGGCCGCAGTAGTAGACTCTTCGGTCTCCTGATCAGTCGCCGTGCGCTGTGCGGGGTTGAACCCCGTCCCAGGAGAAATTTTTCTATTGGCTATGGCTGTTGTGATTGTCCGTAGGTGCTAGACGGTCTCTGACTGTCGAACGCGGAGGTACCACCCGGCGGATCTCGTAGGTGGGGCCAGAATGTGTGCATGCTGCATGCACTCGTGTTCCCTAGCCAGAGTCCGTGTGGCGTCCCCCTTTCCCCTGTATCCCCCTACAGCCCCACGGTACCCCGTGGGTGTTTAGGCCTTAGGCCTTCGTGGCAGTATAAAAAAAACCGGCTAAAGCTAATGTGTTTCAATTCAAAAGTGGCTATATCCTTAATTTAACCAAAATCGGCTAAATCCAATGTTACACCAACCATAATGCATAATCCCGTCAAAGAGTGGTTGCCTCGGCGTTTAGGCAAAAAAGTGAAGGATTCGAATAAGATCGAAACGCAAGCAGAAGAACATTCCGTCGAGAATAGTATGTGTTTTTTTAATACTGAGTGTAATTTTGAAGCTGATGTATGATTATTTTTTATATTCGTTTTTAACAAGAAGGACTTTTTGCTTTTTAAGTTGAGTTTTAAGGTGATGTATTCGAAACAGTTTGCAACAAAGAATGTATGATTTTCTTTTTTATTCCGTTTTGTTATAGAGGGTGTAAGCATTATGATAATCATTATTTAAATGAGTGATAAAGGGTGTTAAAAGAAGCAAAAAGTTTCATATAACATGGGGGTTAAAACTGCATTTTTTAGAGAAAAGACAAAATCTGACAACGCCGCAATGCCAGGCGCGAATTACGACGGAACGCAGTGTAAATAGAGAGGAAGATTGCTATTTTTGGCTCTTAGGTATTATTTCATTATTTGATAATGTACTCGTAAAATGCAAAGAACTAAAAAAAACGGACTTACCACTAACTGTCTCAGCGCTTCACGTGGTGTGTGAAAGTTTATTGAACGTATTAAAAAAATCCACTTATAAATAGGGAACACAATTTTGATACATACATTGTTTTTCTCTTTTGTATTTAAAGAAGGTGTTGAAAATGTAGTCCTCCACTTTCCACAAAAGCTGCATTGCATTGCTCTAGGTCCTCGAAGTTGTCCAATCCATCGGATTGAGGTCAGGATATCTTGCTGGACATTTTCGAGGATCAGGAGCATTTCGACCGATCCAGCGATTTGGATAATGTTCATTCAAATACTGAATGACGCCTCCAAAAATGTGTGGTGGTGCCCCATCATGAAGAAACCACAAATTCTGTCTCCGTTGTGATGGCATGTTGTCTAAGGTCTGTTCCAAAAGTTCTGGTAGGTTATCGGCTAAAAATCTAAGGTATTCTTCTCTTGTCTTTCACGAGTGCGAATATTAGTGGGCTGAACACTTCCTGTATCTCGAAGTTTTTGGTACACTTGCACAAATGTCCTTCTGTCTGGGTGTACCCGTTGGCAAAATCTGTCCCGATAAATATGAGCTGCAACATTTGAATTCTGACGAGCTTCACCGTAAACTAACAACATGTAGGCGAACTCTTGATTCGAGAACATTGTAAATAAACACGACGACGTACGCGAACAAAAACAAAACAACAGACCCGATGCCCGCTAACTAACCACTGTTACCGTTTGCGATCAATTACCGGTTCGATAAGAGTGATGAAAGGCCGACGCGCTGTTGTCATGTGTGTTTTAAATATTTAGTTTAATGAAACTTACTGACTACAAATTCTGGCTTAACTTAGAAAAACTTAATGCCATTTATTTGTTAATTACCCAATATAAAATCGTTTTAGATGAGATAAGATTAAACACAAATCTATTGACTTTTGTACCATGGGTCATATGAACTTTTTGACTTGTTTTGACCCCCCTATTACCCATTTAGATCCACCCCTAACCCCCCCCCCTCCCATACTGACATAGTATGAGCCGAAAAATATGTTTTATTTTGTATAATTCCTCTATTATGCTATGTACATTATTATTACGATATTGCTGATTCTAGATAATTCACACGCAGTTGAGTGAAATGAATAATGGCGATCGTTATAAACAGTTTATTATTATGGTATTAAAAAATAACAAAAAGTCCGAGAGGCTGGACTGTTGCCACTAATTATCTTAATCCTTCCTCCAATTAACCAGTTACTAAGTGAACGGAGTTATAATCTCTAGATAGAATTAAGTTTGAATTAACTTAACACCATACATCAACTTCAAACGTACTGCTTTGAAACAGTACTATTACTGCCCATTTAAAAGTTTACCTTGTGTTGATTTAATTACCGCACATCACCTAGCTTCGTGTTTTTATGGTCGCATGATGGAGCTCTGAGAAAAATTTGCATACAAAGCGGCTTCCGCTCTTGATTATCTTTCAGACGCACCCTCAAACTATTTCAGCGCTTCGAAACTACCTCGTCAAGAAGAACGTTTTTGCTTTCAGAAGTGCGCCCCCGCAGATATTTGACGCCTTTGTATTTGCGAGACTGTAATCGCGCGAAAAGGCTTCAATAAAATATGGTGTCGAGTAGATTGTGTCTATACTTTTACACGCTTTCGAAGCTGATCCTAGCACAATTTTCTATTCAATGCAATTTATGATAATAATAAAGTTCAACTTGAAGCTATTCTGCTACGTATTTCTTGAATAGTTCAAAAAAATAAAATAACAATTCTGTAGCTCAGATCTAAACAGTCGTAAGTCGAAATTGACGCAGTTTTGAGCTTATGTTACTATTAAAATGCACTAGTTTAGCTTTATAACAATCATAATGTTGCTTATGATGTTGGTAAACGCTATATTCAATTTTGAAAATGTGATATTTGCATTTAAACTTTGCTAAAATGTTTATTTCTTTTGCTCATTACTCAAAACTTTCTGTTCTGTTTTCCTTTCAGCTACAGAATTATAAATATCTAAGAGGTGATATACTTAAGTATACTCAGTCATCAAAAGTGTTACACTCAGAAAAAATAATTTTTTCAACTTGATTTTTTGTCTTACATCAAGAATGAAACGTTAATATTTTATTGACAAGTAAAAAGAAAAAAATTAATAATATGTTGGGCGACCCCGCAGCTGAATACACTCCTGTATACGTCTAGGGATCGACAAAATGAGACGATCGATGTCTTTCTTACCGATGTTGCCACTGTAATTTTTAAATTACATTGTTTATGACTGTGATTCGCATGATTTTCTTCAAAATAGCATATATTCTTCAATAATTGAGATATTGACATGAATCAAAAAACGAACTGCTGAGAAAAGTCGAGGCTTAAAATTCTCATCTAAAGACGTATTATTCAGTAATCCAATGTTTCCACAGGGTGTTCAGAAATTTAGGGCAAAATGCACCTTTTAGTTACACCCTGTATAACAACAAACAATTTCAATTTTTAGGAAAAGGTTAAAAAGTTATTTCAAATTTAGTTTGAACAAAATTTTGTTTGTCCGGTAAGTTTTGCGTGGCAGTGTATATTCTACCCAGCGACATTAGAAGTGTTACACCCAGAAAAAAATAATTTCTCAAACTTGCTTTTTTGTCAATGAGGTAGTCTTACATCAAGAATGAAACGTTAATATTTTCACGAAATTTTGTTGACAAGTAATAAGAATAAAATTAATACTATGTTGGGCTGAATACACTCCTGTATACGTCTAGGCATCGACAAAATGAGATGATCGATGTCTGGTTGTGGCTTTTGATTCCAATCAACTCGAACTTCGTGGATCAGCTGTAGCAGAGTCTGTGACGGAAGGTGCAAAGTGTATAGTCAAAATTTTGTTTGTCCGGTAAGTTTTGCGTGGCAGTGTATATTCTACCCAGCGACATTAGAAGTGTTACACGCAGAAAAAAATAATTTCTCAAACTTGCTTTTTTGGCAATGAGGTAGTCTTACATCAAGAATGAAACGTTAATATTTTCACGCAATTTTGTTGACAAGTAATAAGAATAAAATTAATAGTATGTTGGGCTGAATACACTCCTGTATACGTCTAGGCATCGACAAAATGAGATGATCGATGTCTGTTTGTGGCTTTTGATTCCAATCAACTCGAACTTCGTGGATGAGCTGTAGCAGAGTCTGTGACGGAAGGTGCAAAGTGTATAGTCTCCTCCTCATCATATCCCACACATGTTCGATGGGATTTAAATCCGGTAAACGGGGTGGACCCACAGCAAAACGTTAACGCTTGCTTTTTGAAGAAAGTGCATAGTACGACGAGCAATATGGGGACGTGCATTGTATTGCTGAAACAGGACAGTGGACGGCCCTCTAGATACGTAAAGTGGTTTGTAGAACATCATCAACATAATGTTGTAGTCACAGAAGGCGATGAAAATTTAATTACGAGGTTTGTTCCAAAAAGTATCGCGAATTTCATGTTTTTTCAAGAATTGTTCATTTATTCATGAATATCTATTTTGTCTCCTTCAATGTAATCCCCTTCAGAGATCATACACTTGTGATAACGTTTTTTCCAATCCTCGAAGCATTTTGAAAAATCATTTTTTGTTCAGCTATTCCTTCGATGCCGTCTTTATCTCCTCAATGGTGGCGTAGCGTCGTCCTATCATTGGCCTCTTCAGTTTCGGGAACAAGAAAACATCACAGGGGGCCAGGTCTGGGGAATACGGTGGGTGAGGCATTATTGGAGTGTTGTTTTTGGCCAAAACTTCGCGCACAAGTAACGATGCATGAGCAGGGGCGTTATCATGGTGCAAAAGCCAATTTTTGTTCTTCCACAAATCCGGGCGTTTCTGGAGGATTGATTCTCGCAAATTGCGCATTACTTGGAGGTAATATTCCTTGCTGACCGTTCTACCCTGCGGCAAAAACTCATCAATGTTTTCGTATCTTGTTGACGTGGTCCGGCGTCCATTTGGAATATGTCCGCGCACTTCAAGTTGTTTTTTACACAAATGTTAATACAAATTCTTTGATCCAATTTTTGGAAAAGACAAAAATCGGAGACAAGCTAAAACACGTCCACGCACAATTGCTGTCAAAAACTGACTGAACATTCAAAATAGCCGATATTATCGACATTAGTGAGGGTCATGAGTACCAACATAACGCCACAAAAAGATCGAAGATCGAACATACGTTGCCCGCGAAAATTCAA